GCTCTTCCAGTTAAATTAAACCCATCCCTTTTTATAGGTAAATTTTTTTTTAATATTATTTTTTTGGTCGCGCACATGCCTGAGGTCATGCTGTCAAAGCCAGTAGATGCTTGGATGAATGCATGGACCTTCACATGCAAGAAACAGGGGAGAAACATGGGCTGCTCTGGGTGTGCAAACTCCATTTGCAGCCTTCCCCAGTGAATTTTCCTTCCAAAAGTCATTCAATCACACCTTCATACACCTACAGTGCCGGAGGCACCATCTGAACTGATTATCTATACTCCCTTTAGAGTGACAGCAAAGAGAGAGTGACAAGTGTGACTCATGTCAAGCACTTCAGACATTGAACCTTGACCACAGACATTGACCACATCCACTTTTCAAAGAAATTTTATGTTGTTTTCATGTGAAACCCGGGAGAAAATCTGGTCCAATAGTCAGAAAGAAAATGTAATGGCAGATAATTGATGAGACAAACATCATCTATGACTTACCTTCACAAACTTCTCAGAAGGAGCAAAACATCCCACGCAGAGGGACATCAGGATCCAGCCCCTGGCGTGGCTGCTTTTGGATGGGTTCTGGGTCAGCTGCTTGCAGATTTGACAATAAATTTCATCCCTGCAATAGGAACAAAGAAAAGCATTAGAATTAATGAGGTGGGAGAGTTTCAACACAAACAGAGAGAGAGACCCCATCTGCATATGACTGATAAAAAAACATTTTAGCATGACCTAATGACGGTCACCCAGATCATGGCACTGTCTCTGAAATGTCATCTGTCACCACCCCCAAAACATCTGCTGAGTCTTCTCTGTGCTTCAGCTGAGATTTCCCACAGGTGGCTGACACCTGCTGAGAGTGAAATGAAAGGGAATCTCAAGATTCAATGTCACCCCTGGGTGATGGGACCTGTTCTGGCTTCTTACAAAGATTTCCCAGTAATACCAAAAAAACCTCCTGATCTAACGGTCGTGGAGGGCCATCATCTGGGATGCTTCACCCACTGGCTGTTCCTCTTGAGACGCTTGAATTTGTTTTGTGGAAATGTTAGGAACTGTCAATTCCAGTGGAGGGCAAGGTTTGCCCAGCTCTTATGTCCAACCAAGCACAGCAAGTACATTGACAAGTATCTCAATCTGGGATTTACTGTCTGCTTTTGACTTCAACCTTAGTTCTTTCCACGCAAAATGAGGGATAACAGTACTTCCTCATCTACATGGCAGGCAACAAAAACGTTAGCCAACCCTTGACACCGAAAAACCCTGTGGGAACACCCATGGGACACCACCAGGTCTGTCTTCAGAGCAGATTGCGTGAAGAAAAGTAAGGTTAAGGGTTTCATGGTGAACTGGGAAGAAAAAATGAAAATTAGAGAAACTGGTCATCAGGTGAGGCTGTCCACCCCATTTCTGGAGTGAGCAGAGAGGGGTGAGCAAAAAGAACATGAGACTACATAAACAAGGAGTGTATTATAGCACACGTAAATAGGCCAAACCAAAGACATGCAGTTGGCCTTAATTTCGCACTTCTTAATTTTTGAATGCTTAATTTAGCAATCAAAACACATCTGAGTTTTTCATTAGCTGCTGTTAAAAATAGTCACACAAACAAAGGAGATCCAAATGGTCAAATAGAAAAATAAGGACAGTGAACAAGACTGACCATAAAAAACCCCAATCCAGTAGCCATTGGCACTTTCGGTGGTGTTTGAGACCCTTTGCACGGTCTTTCAGCCAGACCTGGTGTGGACATGATCCAGCTCATATTATATAACACAAGCAGAAAAATGATAGGAGAGCTTTGTAAAGCTGCATACGATAGCAAAATTGTTTGGACAAGAATAGCTCGAGGAAGAAGGAATGAAAAGAATGGCATGGTTATGCCTTCGTCTGGATTTCTAACCTTAAGGCTGGCCTGAGGATGCCGTTGCCAATAATGAAATGGAGTTTCTCCAAGTTGGAGGTGGGTCGGTCTTCGAGCATGCTGTTACCCTGCAACGTGGACTCACCGTCGTGAAGTCTCTTCGTCACCTGCCAACCAGACACATTGCCCTCTTTCAGTACAGCCAGTTACCATGTGCCCCCCACCCCCATCCCAGGAGGACTCCTCCAACACCCAGGAGGGGTCTCAAAAGTTCTTCGGTCTAGCCCTTTATCAGCGATGGGAGGGTGGGACTTTGTTGGCTTTAATCACGTATGGGTGAGGCTGAAAAAGGTCTTGTCTAGTCACACTCCTGCCTGCTTGGTCTTGGCCCAGGGTTTCTGCAATAGCACCCTCTCATCCCAGCTCTGAGCTGGTCCTGCAGCTGGGAGAGGGCCACCAAGAGTCTTTGAAATAATCTCAACTTATTGCTAAGGAGGACCTTGTCCCTTTAACTCAGCCATATAAATAAAAATCATTGAAACACTGACAAAATGGATCATCTCTCTATGTTAGTGATGCAGCCAAAAGCATGTAGGCATGGTTCTGTTTGTGTGAGAGGAGATGGCATCTGTCCATCTACCAGCTCTGCCTCAGCTAGTCAACCCAGTCTCCATTTAGAGCCACTGGAGAAAGACAGAAATTTCTAGAGCGTGTTCAGAGCCACATTAGAATAAGCTGGGTTGGGTCCTATTTCTCCCCATTGACCCTAGAGGGAAGGGGTTGATTCTCTCAGAGAGCAAATTTTCTGCTCTCAAGGCAGCTATAGCCAGGTGAGACGGTGCCTGCCGTGGAAGTGGACATGGCAGCATGTGAAAAAAGTCTGAAATCATGCCCTTGCGTTGCTTTCATCCCCCCCTGACCCAACAGATTTATTGCTCCTCATTCTTTTTGAGATGGGATTTTCAACAGCTCTCAACTTGGACTTCCCCTGGGAGGCTCTGAGCCTGGCACTGGGGGGGAGCAGAAGGTGGTGGGAGACCCCACCTCCACTACCTACGTCACGTTGGAGGGCAGGGAGCTAAAAGCAGGGGTAACATTCAGACCATCACAGGGTGGTGAGAGGTATCAGCAGCTGGATGGAGGGCTGTGAAAGAGGGGAGGGAAGGTGCTGGATGGATGGAGAACGGGAGCCGAAGGGAGGCCGGCACGAGGTGCAGAATGACTCAAGGAGACACGGGAAGCCAACCTTTCCCCTTAAACACTCCTTAAATCTTTCAGGCAGAGAGACAGGTAGCGCCAAACCCAGAGCAGGGCTGGTTCTATGTTGTCTAGGGAAAAGCAGAAGAGAGTCAGAGAGGGCTGCGGACAATCCAACGGCACTTGTGCTGCCAGGCGGCCAAACGTCTCCCCTCACCTCCTCAGTCAGTTTGGATTTCTTCTTGAGTGTTAAGGAGACCAGTTTGTGCCGCACACTGTTCTTCTTGTGCCCATCAATGTGAGTACTCTGCAAAGCAAAAGGCGTGGACGCGATGAGGTGAGACACAGAGACCTGTCGAGTACGTGCTCTTCTTGCCTCCCCCGAGCTCCCACAAAACACCCTTAATCCTGGGCAGAGAACGAGATATGTCAGAGGCTGGTGGGAACAAGAAGTATGGACCCATATTCTTGTGCCCACCAGTAACCCATACCTGACTCTGAATTTTGTAGACAGAGCGTCCCTCAGATCAAAACTGCATGTTGGAGATGTCTGAAAAAGTTATGCTGAATACATGGCTGAATTGAGGGAGGTGATTCTCTCCTCTACTTTGCTCTGGTGGGACCCCACCTGCAGTTCTGTGTCCAGCTCTGGGGCTTCCAACATAAGAAAGAAAAGGACCTGCTTGACTGGGTCCAGAGGTGGTGATCAGGGGGCTGGAGAACATCTCCTATGAGGACAGGCTGAGAGACTTGGGGTTGTTCAGTCTGGAGAAGAGAAGGCTCCTAAAGGGGAGACCTTGTAGCCCCTTCCAGTACTTAAAGGAGGCTATAGGAAAGCTGGGGAGGGACTCTTCATCAGTAAGTGTAGTGATAGGACAAGGGGTAGTGGTTGTAAACTGGAAGAGGGTAAACTTAGATCAAATATTGCAAGGAAATTCTTCACTATGAAAGTGGTGAGACCCTGGCCCAGGTTGCCCAGAGAACTTCTGGATGCCTCATCCCTGGCAGTGTCCAAGGCCAGGTTGGACGGGGCTTGGAGCAACCTGCTCTCGTGGGAGGGGTCCCTGCCCATGGCCGGACTGGCAGAGATGGTCTTTAAGGTCCCTTGCAACCCAAACCATTCTATGAGTCTATGATTTTATGACTCCTAGTTGGCCTAGGTCCACTCAGTTCTGCTATATACCATTCAGGCTTGTTCCCACATTGCTAATGAGAAGAGTGAAAGGACTCTCTGAGATAAGCCATTTGCACAGCAAGTTTGTGAGCTGGAATTCTTCTTACCAGGGGTTCATGGACAGCTAGTTATCCATAGTGGTTTTATCACCGTTAACCAGTTCTGTGCTCCATCAAATTTCCCAGAAGAGTAAGTTTGGTGTGGGACAGACCCAGGCATTGACTACATATCCTCAAGTTACTGCTGGCTTTCTACTTCTACACAAACTTTATGTCAGCAGTGGGGTTAAAATGACATGGATAATCACTTTTTGAGCTACTTAGCCTCTCCTCATGTAAACAGTTATGAAAACACCTTGTTTTTACACCAGATCAGCACTTTAAGTCCTGCAGGTGAGATGGTTTATATCCACCATAAAGCCAAGCTTGTTCTCTACACCTGGATTTGGGTATCGTCAAGCTCAAGGTCAGATCAGACATCCCTCTGCACTGTTGGGCACTCTGCAGAGCAGATTGAACCACACACAAAAACGACAGCTTCAGTTTTCCTTCTCTTCTGTGCTACCTGATGTCTCAATTGGACAGAACATGCCTTTTTGGAATAATGAAGCATGAAATGACGGGTAGAAAGAATGGCAGGTTATTCTCAGTGTATATTCTTACAGAATTACAATCCAGATGAGGCTACTATCCTTCTCAGGTAATTCCACGGAAGTGTTGAATGATATCATCTTCTCTAGGAAATTTGTTAATTTACATCTGCAAATGGTGCAAGGGCTTGTCCAGATGTGACTACAGAAAATGTGAAAACGAAAAAGTGCCACCTAGAAAATGCCAACACCAGGTAATATCGTGTTCTGCCAAAGAAAGCAATTTCCAAAGAAATCGCTACTCTGTGGGCCATGATTTATCCAGAGCAATATCTTATCTGGGAGGGGTCCTAAGACAAAGTCCCCCAGTGACATCCCAGAATGCACTGAGGATGCAATAAAGATATATATTTTTTTTAATTTCCTCAGCATAATCCTCTGGTAACTCGTTACTTCCTTCTCAGTTAAGGACACATTTTCAATTTATTCTCTTCTGACTCAGTGCAGATCAAAAAGAAATCCCCAAAGGGGAAACTGATGACACAGGACATTGTTCTCCTCCCATGTGCTTCTGATAGGACAAGAGGAAATGGCCTCAATTTGCACCAGGGGAGGTTTAGGTTGGAAATTAGGAGACATTTCTTTACTGAAAAGATTCCAAGGCACTGGAATGGGTTGCCCAGGACAGGGGAGGAGTCACCATCCCTGGAGGTATTTAGAAGTCGGGCAGACCCAGTGCTCAGGGATGTGGTTTAGTCGAGGACTTGTCAGTGTTGGGTTAATGGTTGGACTTGATGATCTTTAAGGTCTTTTCCAATCTGGGCAACTCTGTGATTTTGTGCCCTACAAGGAGGAAGAGAGAGATCAAAGCCCCATGAGAGATATCAGGGCGCATCCCTTACTGTACTGCTGGGGGACATTCAGATATCTCTGTGAAGAAGAAGGGACAGGATCAACCACTGAGACACGAGTGATTGTCCCTTTGTAGTGTAACTGCAAATGCAGTCGACAAACTGCTCGCCTGCAGCAAACCCCACAACTCGTTGCTTTCCCACACATTTCAATACCCAGCACCCGACAACAGCGACTCCTTCACAGCCTCAGCAGTTACCTCTCCTTCTCCCTGCAGAGCCTGCAGTTCTTTCTTATAGGTCTTTTTCCCAAGAGTTTCATAGATTTTTGTCATCACTGGTATCTTCTCGCCACCATCGCTCATGGCTGTGTGATATTTCGGCTCGGGGAGGTCTCCCATGAAACGGAGGATAGTGATCCATACAGCGAGGGCTGCCTATTTGAAAGGAAAGATTAACCCATTAGCTCGCAGCAGGACATTGGAGGGGGTGGCTAAGCCATACCGAATCCATCAGGAGCACCGCTGCGGTCTCCCTGTACATCTGCAGGACAGTTTGGCCCACAGCGCACATCCCGTGTGAGCAAACCACAAATTCAGGCTCTCTGTTCATGCCATCCTGAGCGGGTTTGTGCACCCTACAAGGGGATAGCTTCTTGGCCGCGAGATGCCACTTTTACAGAGGGGCAGCGACTGGCAGCTCCTAACCCACTGCAGAAGGGAAGGAGAACCACGGTGAAGGTGAGCTCATGGCTGCTGTAAGGTTCATTAGAGCCGTGCAGGTTTAACATCATTCTGCTCTTGTATCTCTGGTTATAGGACAAGTGTTTCTCCTCTGCTAGCTCTGGTGAGGTAAGAAGAAACTTCTCCACCTGCTGAATAGCAGCTTTGCAAGCAGTGTTCACTCAACAATTTGCATTTCCCATGCCCTGAGTCCAGAGCACTTCATTAACTGTCCTCACATAAATATCAAGGAACTCACCACTATATCCCTCTAATGCTTGTTGTCCTGCCAGTGCTCAAAGCATGCTGGTGGGACGGTGCCTACTGTGCTCTCCACCAAACCACGAGCACACCAGTGTATTCCAAAGGGAAACTGCTGGTGCCTTTTGGGCAAAGAGCTCCCCAGGCTTGCTCCAACCCACCCTGACCTTCTCGAGTTTTTTCATCCCCTGCCTCACCAACTGGTCTCCTTCATCTTCATGGTACAAAAGAGGCTGCTTGAGAGGCCGGCGGACGTAGGTGTGTGTCGTCGTGCCCTGGAAATATGTGGCGGCAAACTTGGCAAACTTGTACTCTGAAAGATCTTCCTCCTCTTCCTCAGGGAGAGGCAACGCTGCATCCAGGTCTTCTTCCTCCAGCTCCTTCTGGGCTCGCTCAAGATCCTGGTGGGGAAGGACAAGTCAGGTGCTCAGCATGGCTTCGAATACTGAACCACCCTTTCTCCTTGAGCCTGACTTTTCTCTCTGTCTGATTTCCACCTCAAAGTGAAAAGTCACCTGGAGCAAAACCCACAAAATATAGTTCTGGAGCCTATGTAAAGCCCAGGTCCTGAAGGACATGCCCGTGCACACGAATGTCCCCTGAGCAGGAGGAGAAGCAACAAGCATGGCCCCTCTCCTAGTGCAGAGAAAGGCACTGTGAGTCATGATGAAGCTCAGAAGAAAAGATCTCAAAGGCCACAAGTCCTCAATGATCTTACACTGACACAGCTGCCCTCCATGCAGTGGCCTCAAACTGTCTGTCTGTCCCCAGCCACAGCACATCAACCCTCTGGGGTCATGCAGAAGATGCTGGTCTTGAAGGAAGTGTTCAGAGGCCCCCTTCTGTGTTGTCATACTCTCCACTGATTCATTAATGTGTTGCTAAAAGCCTTTCATGTGATTGCCAGGTTCATGTATGTCCCCAGTACCTCGAAGCCATTGGGTGCCTGTCCTTCCTGGCCAGGCAGCGAGGATGTTGTCCCCAGGAACCCAAACATTTTGTCCACCATTTCCGAGTCGTTCACTGGCTCGTTGCGAGCTTTCTCCATTTTTTCTAAGAGCTCTTTCTTCCGACGCGCTTCCTCCTTCTCCTTCACTTCTCTCTCCGCGTCTTCCCGTGCCAGCTGGGCCAGGCGTACCTGCAAGGTGACAAAGCCAATGACTGAATCGCTCCCTCCAAAGACCTAAATTCTGCAGGGCTTGGTTTTAGAAAGGCAAACTGCCCAAAGCTTGGGGCACTATCCCAGCAAAGTGACTTGGAGCAAATCAGTGGGATGTCCACATCCCAGCTTCCTGACTGCAGAAGGACAAAGCAGTAGCATTTTCTCCTTCTTAGTGCCTGTTTAGGGGGTCTGGTACATGCACAGAGATCTCACTGACCTTATTTTTTTCTTTTATACAACCACCATGTACGCGCGCACACACACACACAGTGCGTCCCAGTTCCCCTTTAGCCTTGCAAAAAAGCAAGTGAATAATAACTGTAATCTCCAGCATTCCTGTGCAGCAGATCAGAAATTCTGGAGCAGCTTCAAACTAGTTAGAGCACAGCGTACTTTAGTAAAATAAATACAAACTGCTCAAGCAGGGCAGAAATCCTTTAGATATTTTTTGGCATTCCCCCTCAAAGGAGCAAACCTAGTCCCTGGAGAATAGAGGCAGAGCCTCAGAAAGCAACTAGTCCCCACGTACTTGGTGCTTCTTTTCTGCTTCCTCTTTGGCTTTCTTGGCACTCATCTCCTTTCGGAGCCGTTCTTCTTCTGCCAGTCGAAGTTTCTCTGCTTCCAGGCGTCGATGATACTGGGGGGATAAACACAAGGGCCCTTCTGAGTAGACATAATTTTTGACTTTTTTTTTTTTCTCTTTATAAACCCATCCCATCAACATGTGATGCACAAGCACGTTTGTTTCCCCTCTCCCCACCTCTATTTCCAACAACTAAACTCTCCTCCTTGGTACTTACTTCCCCACGGAGGCGTTTATACAGCCTTCGGGCGATCATGCCCCGGGCGTACGCCTGGACGGTGAGGACAGCCCAGAGGCGATGGCGAAAAGCCCGACGGACCAGGTAGCCCCGGCATCGTGCCTGAAACTCAATGATCCGCCGGCGAGCCATGTGGTATTGCTTGTGGAGCTTGCGGGATCGGTAGAGGGCTTGGAGTCGCAGGAAGCCGATCCGCATCTGCCAAGAAGGAGCAGGATGAAACCACCCCACCGACCCAGGGGCTCGCCCACCGTAAGCAGATTTCCATCGCTAATCTTCTGCCACTAATCTCCTTCTTGTGAGGCTGTAAATAAGAGCCACTGCAATTGGCCCCTACCCAACAAAAGCCTGAAGGAGGGAGGTTCTCCAAGGAGAAATGAAGCCCACCAGGTGCTGCACTGATTCAAAGCCTAAGAAGGACACTCCTTCCCTACTGAGTCCTACAGAGCCCTTGAGAGACCCCAAGAGGTCTGGTTGGTCATCTCAAGGCAGCCACAAGCCATGAAGGCTGCTCACATGGATGTTCAGGGTCTGCAGACTTCCCAAGAAGTCTGGTTGGTCATCTCAAGGTAGCCACAAGCCATGAAGGCTGCTCACATAGATGTCCAGTGCCTGCAGACCTCCTGCCTGACAGCCAAGGCGCTATTTCAAGGCAGGAGGCAACATCCTGACCAGCCTGGAAGTAGCTATTCCTGTTAAGTTGCAGGCTTGCAGGGTGATATTGAGACACTTTAAACCCCAACACACTTCCCAAATGACCCGCTGTTGGGTCAGAGCCAGCTGGGACAGGAAGAGAGAAAGGGCTGTGGACTGGGTTGGGGAGAAACCAGACCTGATCCCACCTGGAGATGGAGTCTGTTTTTTAGATGAAGCTGCTCTTGAGTTTTCTGTTACCTGGAAACACTTTTAAAAGCCCAAGTGACCGGTTTGTGCAATGAATGTGTAACTCACAGGGAAAAGGACAGCTAGAAAGTGGTGAAGTGCTCTCCTCAATGAGAGGCCAAAGCAGCGAGAGTAAGCCTCCATTCATAGCTCCAACTGATAAAAGCCAACCCCAACCCCTCCTACACTCAATGGGGCATTTTGAGCCAGGAAACTCTTACGTATGTCCCAGCTGAAAGAGGTAGAAAGGCAGAGGTGTGAGGAAGCAACCCCATACTCACAGCACCATAGTTCTTCCTGCAGTTATGTCCACGCCAGTACCTCTGAATCATCAGGGCTGAATTTCTCACTTTCAGGAAATTGGACCTGCAAAGGCATTTCAGTCACTCGCCTCTGCGGTTTGGCTGCAAGTTATCGTCATCTCCTGGGCCTCATTCTTTGGAGATTTGAAACTGAGCGGCCAAGTGGAGTAAACACTGCATTTTTGGCCTGAAAAAGTCTCCTCCCCCAGCGATTTTTCATTAAAAGGTCTGTAGGGGCTCTCTCTGATAGGTCTCTGCAGGTAGATTCTGCTGGGTTATGTGAATGGGCAGAGCAGGAGATGCTGAGCATGGTCCCTTCCTTCCCCCCATCCCATCCTGCATCCTCTTCTCATGTCTGAAATCTCTTCCATACCTGCTCTCGTCACTCCAATGCTAGCACCTGAGAACAGATTCAGTCCCACCCAGATGATCAAGGACAAACTTCAGCAACACCAACCTGCTACCCCCATCTGCTCCTCCCACCCTCCTTAGCCTGGCCTGATTCTGCCTGTAGACACCTCTGAGACAACTGTGTTGGAAAGGTCTCACCAGGATTACTGTGGGTAAGATCGCTCAGTTATTTTGAATATTCCCTTTCTGTGAAGCTTAAGGCACAACTGGAGCCACAGCCATGTTTTGGGGAGTCAAAGAGCAGAAAGAACTGTCCTTCCTCTGTGGGTGAAGCTGATCCTTCACTGTGGTTCTTCTTATGTAACTGTGCCATGAGCTCCCCATGGGCTACCCGCCTTCCTCCTAAGGCCGACAACTGGGTTGCAAAGGGAAGAGTCCTGAATCCCTTGGGCTTTGGGAAGCTTAATGTTAGTTGTGGTGGATGACCCAATGGTCCCAGTGCAGTCTTGTGGAGATCCCCATAAACTGGAGGCTTAGCATTGCCTTAGAATCATAGAATCATAGAATTGTATCAGCTGGAAGAGACCTAGAAGATCATCGAGTCCAGCCTTTGTCCTAACCCTATCAACCTACTAAACAATTCCCCCCAAAGCAACATCCACCCGTCTCTTAAACCCCTCCAGAGACGGTGACTCAACCCCCTCCCGGGGCAGCCTGTTCCAATGGCTGACAGCCCTCTCAGTATGGAAATTCTTCCTAATATCCAACCTGAACCTCCTCTGGCACAATTTAAATCCATTTCCCCTTGTCCTATGACTCTCCACCAGGGAGAATAGACCAATCCCCCCCTCTCTACAACCTCCCTTCAGGTAGTTGTAGAGAGCGATGAGGTCTCCCCTTCGGCAGGCTCAGAGCCCCGCTGCTGAAACGTGACGGCAAACTTCAGCTCCCCTGAAGACACCACTGAACAGGGATAGAAGGACCTGTTCTGTCCACGTTTGAGGCAGGTAACACTGTTTTCCTCTTTTTTCCTCTACTGTTTTCCTCCAATACTTGCTGCACCCGAATGGCAACACATCAGGGCTCCCCTCTCCCCGGCTGCAGGCAGGGCAGGGCAGACGGGTGCCAAATGACACATCCCTCAGGAGCTGCTTGCTAGGTGAAGCATCCCACAGAGCTCACCTCCGATTTAGCCATGGGGCTCACACCTACCTGTCTTTAAAGCCACGGACCACCTTCTGGATGAGGATGACTTTGTCCGTGATGGCCTTATCCCTCTCAATCTCCAGCAGCATGTCGTGGTGGTCCTGTGGGAGGAAGCGACACAGTGCCCGTGTCTCAAGCTTGCCACCCGTCCGACATGTGGGAGGAGGCATAATAAGAAGTCCTTCCCAAGAGGAGATGACCAAAATGAACTCTTGGGACATTTTACACCCCAAGGATGACCCCATCTACTTACTGGGGAAATACTAATGTAAACCCTAGAGATCTACTGCCTTCATTCCTAAATGGACCAGAGCATCCAGAGGCTGCATATGGAATCATAGAATCATAGAATCACAGAATCATGGAATCATAGAATCATTGAGTCATAGAATCATAGAACAGTTTTGGTTGTCCAGCCTTTGTCTCAGCCCTGTCAACACCATTAAACCACGTCCCTCAGCACAACATCCATCCTTCTCTTAAATATCTCCAGGGATGGTGACTCAACCCCCTCCCTGGGCAGCCTGTTCCAATGCCTGACAACCCTTTCAGTAAAGTAAAGCTTGAAAACAACCAAATTGCATTTCCCTTCCATGCAGAACTCCCTGTCAGCCATGGGAGCCGTTCCCAGGAGCACTGGAGAGGTTTGGGAACAAACTGCAGGTTGCCTGGGTCCCATCGCTCCCTCTAGCCAAGGCTGCACCACCTGCAGGCCCTAAGGACATAACAGCTCCCCGAAATACTGAATTTCCTCGCCCTGAGGCTCTCAGATGCACCAGTCCAAGCGTTTTATGGATTCCTCCCACGCTGCTTGCAACTTGGCTTTCTCTCCCGGTTGTGGCACGCCACGCCACACCGCGCTGGGTGCAGCAGAGGCAGCTCCACATGCTTCCTGCTTTGCTCGACCTCCTGCAGCCCCTCGGGGCCTCCCGATTTCTCTGTTTCCTGCCCTGACAGCTGTGAGATCTTGATAAACAGGCTCTCGAAAGAGCAACTAGCGGGCACAGCTCCTAGGGAAGAGATGGGGTTGTTCGTGCCGGCAATGGGGCTGGGGGTGAATTTAGATATATAAGTGGTCAGGGTTTACTGCTGAGATTTTTGCTCAGACAGAAGCCTTTGCTTCCATCCTGGTTCCTGGCCAGCTCAGAGCAACGCAAGAATTATTTTGTAAGGAGAGGTGAGAGAAAATAGGGCTGTGGGGGACCTGCAATGTTGAGTTGCTCTGTGTCGGCTGGACTGATGCAGAAAGGGAGGCTGGACTGATTCAGAAAGGGAGGCTGGACTGATTCAGAAAGGGAGGCTGTAGGCACGTCTTGGGGGGCACAAGGATGTGCTGAAAACAAAGCGAGCCTGTCATGCTCTTGGTATCTCTCTCTGCAGGACATCCCTCCTGCTGCTGCTGAGGTTGCAGGAGATGAGGTTGAGCAGCTCAGCCCAGGAGGGAAAAGGCCATGTGATGTACGTGACTACGTCTGCCTCCCTGTGGGTATGTGCATGCATCAGTGCTGGCAGAACATTAGGACTTCCTCCTGTCTGCTTGTTCCTAAACTGGCCCCAAATATCCCAAATATTTCAAATATTGTGATTCTGTGATCTTTCATTGGCCAAGGTTCTACCCACTGCCATGCCAGCCCAAAGGCCATGGGAAAAGATCTCATTTTGTTATGAAAAGAGAATGGTAGGAGATCCTTTCACAAGCAAGGGTCCCAGATGGTAGGAGGGATGTGGAGAACCACCTACCTTCAGGAATATCTTCGTCTTTCCAATCTGCCAGTCGTCATCCTTCCCGAGCACCGCTTCGGCAATACGCTGGCACGTCCCACGCAGGTCGCCCTGGGAGGAGAGGCCATGAGATTCACCAGGACCAGTCTCACCCATTGATCCTTTTCTGGACCTAATTTTCTGCTAATTCCAGCAATTTTCTGCTAATGAGGTTCCCAGGGCTTTAATGTCACCACATTTCAGGTGAGTGAGAGGGACACTACCCGTCCCTGCCAGTCCAATAACTGTTCTTCCTTCACTTAAAGATCCCAGAGCACCACTGTAACATCTGGGCATCAGATGTGGCTTAGTTGCTTTCGGAGAGGATGCCCTCCCCATAAATATCTCTGGAGAGCCCAGCAGAGAGCAACTGTTAGCCATGGAAGGAAATGCTCACCTGCTTGTATGCTGGCTTCACCCCAGGCATGAGCACCCGGTACCGGTCCACGAACTCCACAAAGGTGTAGCGGATGGGGTAGCCGGCTCGGCGGATCCGGATGGTCTCCATCATACCCGAGTACCTCAGCTGACGGACGCACAGCTCCCGGTCAAACAGCTGTGGAGGTTACGGGACACGATGGTTTGATTGCACATAGGGAGAACTTCTTTGCTAAGAGAGTGGGAAACACTGGCAAAGGTTGCCCAGAGAGTTGGTGGAAGACCCATCCCTGGAGATACTCAAGGTCAGGCTTGATGGGTCTCTGAGCAACTTGATCCAGTTAAATGGGTTAACTGGGTTAATTAGGTTAACTGGGTTAACTGGGGTTGATCTAGATGATCTCTGCGGGTCCCTTCCAACACAACATATTCTATGATTCTATGATTCTATGGTCTTGGCCTGTATGGGCCATGAGACAGTGGGGACTTTGAAGATGTGTGGGGTAACCAAGTCAGGCATCCACCCAAATCCTTCACGTGGTGGACTCAAGGCTGTAAGTCTGTTGGCTCTCATGGACCTGATCCTATGAACTGCTGAGAATGTTTTACTCACTCCATTTGTTTAATTCCTGCTTGGACAACCGGATGTGTCCTACACATCACACAAGGGACTGAGAGGAGAACTGGAGAGCACAGTGAGCACCAGTCAAACCATACGGTCACCCTCTCAATGACCATTCATAGTCATTAACTTCTGATCATCGCTCTAAGCTTTCCTGTCATCATCACGACAGTCTGTATGGGCAGGGCAGTACCATTTGCAGACAGAGGACCATATCAGGAAAGGCTTGGACACCCAAAGGTCTTAGGGTGCTGCATCACATGCTCTTAGGGCAGGTGATGCCCTGAAGTCCCACAAAGAAAGAATGCAGCCTTGGAGATGCCATGGCCCTGAGATAAGCTTGCTGTCATCAAACCACCCTGTACCCTCAAGGACATCTGAGGAGCTTAAAATGAACAGGTCAGGACTGAGGCCAGCTGCAGGTTTTAAGGAAAGGACAAATCTCAGACCAGCTTCTGTGGCTGCTCCTGACAAGTAATGGACAATTTGATGGCCAAACAGCAGACACAGGTATTTGCAGGTATTTGCTAATAAAATCTGGCTGCTCTCCTTTGCTTCGGGTGCCTCAGGATGGATGATGAGTGGTGCTGCTAGATGGGTAAAGGGAGGTTAAGGAAAATCTCTGCTGTGCTTTAGCACATTGAGGAGGATCCTGGACCCCTTGAGAGCATCTGCTTTCAGCCTGGTGTGGTCTGCTAGGAGCATCCAAAAAGTGTTCAACCCTAAGGTAAAAATAAATGCAGGGGTGCTGTGGTGCTGGTACATCACAGAAAGTCAGGATGGTTAATCCCAGCCTGGGCCAAAGAATTAATGCCAGGATGTTATTCATCTGCCTCCCTCCTTCAGCTGTCTAAAATGTGGGCATCTGTGCACATAGAAGGTATGAGTGTCTAAAATGTGGGTCGCCTAGGTGAGTGAGGAGAGAGAGGCATGTACCTGTATCTCAGATACCCCTGCATTTCAGATGCATCTCCTGGGACAGGAGGCTCTGCCCTATGGATGCACCCACCTCCTGGAGGTAACTTTTTGATGAGCTCATAGCAGCCACTTCACCATGAAAGGGCTGGAGGAAAGTGAGACAGATCCTGATCCCCAGAGAAAACAGCAGATGTGGGAGCAAAAGGCAGAAAGTAGCATCACCCAGAGCTGGTCTCAAGCTGTCCCTTTCAAAAGAGGGTACTG